ACACACACACACACACACACACACACACACACACACACACACACACACACGCTTCGCCCTGTGAACGGACCGTTGGCACCACAGCGCGCGCCCAGTTTGGCAAGCTCTGCGCCCCTCCTCGCTAGCGTCTCTTAGGGCTCGGTGGAACGAATGAATGACCCGGGAAGGGACAGGCGCAGAGGGCGCAGGAATCCCCTGAGAACGAGGCCCTTTCTTTTTAATGTACTCTGCAAAGCGCTCCGCCCGCTCCTGGGCCTCTCTCGGCTCCAGTGGGTGAGGACAGGCGAGGGCATCCGCGAAAGGAGCCACCCGTGGTGCGCGCAGACCCTGCACTGGCCTGGGGGACCGGCCCTAGCGCACGGTGTGGCTCCCCGCGGAGCGAGCTTTTGCTCCCGGCTCTAACTGAGTCACCCCCGCGAGGCTGCGGAGATCCTGGCTGCCAGGACGCTGGCACCGTGCGCCACCGGCGCTGGGGTTTTTCGGGGGCGCTCGCGGGACCCCTCCTCTCTCCGAATAGGCCTTGCTCATCCACCCCATCTCACCCCCCTGCCCTTGTGGCAAACCCTGCCGCAGGGACCCCATCTCCCAGAGCCCGGGTCCCGGCTCGCCCGTCCCTCCCCGCCCCCTCGGGCGCCCAAGGCTCCAAATCCCGTTTCTATGACCGGCCCTGGGGTCCGCACCCAGCCCTGGCCGTGCGTCGGGCCGCCCCCCTCCCCGGCCCTCCCGTACCTGGACCCTGGCCTCGGTGAGGTCGATCTTCAGCGCCAGTTCCTCGCGCGTGTAGATGTCGGGGTAGTGCGTCTCGGCGAAGACCCTCTCCAGCTCCTTGAGCTGCGCGCTCGTGAACGTGGTGCGGATGCGCCGCTGCTTGCGCTTCTCGTTCAGGCCGCCGTGGTCGGTGAAGAGTTTGTAGGGAACTGGAGGGGGACAGGGGACGGAAAGCTAGGGTGAGCCAGACGGTCAGGAGGTGGAGGGCCCCCGAACCAGGACGTGGGGACCGAGGCCCGAGGGCCCGGCAGCCGCTGCGGGCGCCAGGGCCATCTGGATGGAGTTTTAGGCACAGCGACCTGCCAAGAAAACCCAGCAAAATCAGTAACATGCAGAAACAGGGGCGCGAGTGAGACTTTTGGCGGGTTCCTGTGGCCCAAGTGCCTTCGGGTGGGTTGAAATAGCAAGTTGGAGACCGCCTGAGACCCAGGAAGGGGGACAGTCCGTTCAGCTGGAAAACAGTCCAAAAAAAAAAAAAAAAAAAACATCAGTTGAAATATCAGAAAGCCCGGGACGAAGTTACCACTAACCCCACTGCTGGAACTTTTCAGTTCTCAGCAGCTGACGCCCGAAAGTTAGGGGATAGTGCTGTGAAAAAAAACCACAAAACCCAATAAATTCAAGAAATGATCATAAAAATGACCGGCCAAAGAGGTGTGAGCCGCTGTCGGTTCTTTAAAAAAAGAGAGGAGAGAGAGAGAGAGACACCGCCAGTAATGAGCTTTACTCTTTGTTATTTAATTATTTTCTAAGCTTTACGTCTCATCGCAAAGTAAATAAATTATGCCTATCATTTTGGCAGCTTAAGATAATTTTGTTGGCGGTTCGGGTGTGACTAGGATAGTGTAACCCTGTAAGTGAATTACCCCTCCCTGCAATCGCTTCTAACGTGATAAATTCTTTCATTTGTGTAAGCAAATTTCGTTTGGTAAATACTAAACACATTTCCATTTTCAAATGCAATCAAGGCTTCCTATATACGCGCGGAAAGGCGGCTTCTTCCGCGGAGAGAGCTGGCGGTCCTTACCTGCGGCGTACGGACTGCTCTGGTGGTCCCTGAGGGTTCCCAAGCTGCAGGATCCCGGCGTGAGGGACGGGCAGCCAGACGTGGCCCCAAAAGTGGTCCTTATCGGGTTATACTGGAAGCCACTGGCCTGGCTGCAGGAACTGAAGTCCGCGTAAGCTGAAGCCAGGCTCGAGGTGTCCATCCCGGCCATACAGGACTCGTAGGCAGAGGAATTGAGGTAAGAATATTCCATTTTATACATTGAAAAGGCTCTGGATGGCTCAGCCAAGTGGAAGAAGGAAGTAAAAGATGGACGTGGAGACGGCGGCAGGAGAGGGGAGATGCGCACAGCTCAGCGCCTGCCTCCAAACTGGCCTCCTTACTACCAGCAGAGCCTAGTTTTATGAAAAAGCCTCCTATGAGGTGCCTTGTCTGAGGTCTCTAGAGCATATAGTCCTCATAATAAACTTGGCTCTTTCCACTTGGACAATAGCAAAGCGGTTGGTCTTATTGCTGGCGCTTTTTACATGACAATAACTCATCCGTCTATTGGGCTGGCACTGGGGAACCGAGCTGTCCAACCTCCCTATCATTGATTCCTGCATCTCTAATTAGAATTTAATACCACACCATTACGCACCGAGCCCCTGGTCCTCCCTTCTAACCAGCTCCTGCCCTTTAATTCAATCACGCTACTTGGAAATAATGAAAGTTGGGTGACGATTTTCCCTGATCCAATTTCCAAGAGCTTTTAAGCCTTTTTAACTGATCATATACCTTGGGCATAAATTGAGATAGTGTGTTTTCCCCCTTCTTCGTCCTTTTTTTTTTTTTTTTTTTTTCTTGGTTAGGGAGAAGAAACCTTGATGTCATAGAAAACCTGTTTTGTAAGAGTGTTACACGCTCAATTTAACAACAAGCCTACCCCCCGAAGTGCATGAAATGGTATAAAGGACGGGACTCTGGCGAGACTCAGGCGCCCTGTGACACAGCGAAAGCGGGCCAAGGGGGTCTTATGATAAGGCTAAGCGGATTTCTTTAAAATACACCTGGTCGAAGGGGATGGGGGGTGATGGTGGAAGGTGTCTTATCAACGGGGTTTCTCCTCGAAGCTTCCCGTGCTTTCCGGAGGCAGACTGCTGCCCTTTGCAACAGTAAAATTAAAAACCCAGTACAGCTCTCAACATCTGGATTCCCTCCTGAACGGTTCTCTACGCTCAGCGCTGTGTCTGCCCGCGTTAGTGCGGTTTGCATCGGTGTGGTGGTGGTGGTGGTGATGTGTGTGTGTGTGTGTGTGTGTGTGTGTGTGTGTGTGTGTGTCTTCCCCGCGGTGGTTGTTTGGTTTAATTACTGGGTAGCTACCAAGCCCAGCATGAAACGCACCCAAACCAGGTTCTCCTTTGCCAGCCCTCTGCTACCGCCCTCTCCTTCGCCTCCCGCGTTTCCAGGTGCTCACAGTCCCCTCCAGAACAGGGGTTTCCCCAAAGAGGATCGCTGTCAGTTTGCCCTTTAGGTTTTCCGACTTGACCGAGAGCGACGGTCTGGCTATCTAAACAAACACGGCACCGCCTAGAAGCAGAGCGCTTCCCCAGTTCGATTCCTAGGGCTCTTGGGTTCTGGCAAAGAGGCGCAGACAAAGAAGCCAGCCGTGATTTGTGGACCTCGGTGGCCCCATGATTTAAGCAGAGGGTAATTTTCATTTGGTTCGTTAGACTCCAGCAGAATAAAGGGAAATATTTCATTAAATCCTTCCTCTCGGTGGACAAGAGGGGGGAATCGCCGTGCGGTGTAAACAAACCCTGGATATTTTATATGAATTAAATGTGTAGATAATTAGTTTTATTGCATTCATTACCCCCTTTATGTGCTCTGTAACAAGTCGGTAATTAAAGTAACAAACTCATAAAGTCTTTACAGGGGCATTTAGGCGTTCAGTGTTCGCCGAACTAAGTGGTTTAATTCGACGCTAGTGCCGGGGAGCGGATGGGCGCGGACGCTCCGCTGCCACCCTGCTTTACTGCTCACTGAACCGCTGCAGACGCCGGAATGGATGAGGGACAGGGACCGCGGGGCCACACCCTCTCCGGCCCAGGTGTTCGCTCATCCCCCCCGCGCCGAGCTGCGCGGAGCTGGTGAGGGCTGGGCTGGCAAAGTTCAGGCTCGGGGACCCACCGGGGGAAGCTGGTGAGAGTTTTATGGCGAGGGCTGATGGTTTTATTGCAGCTGTGCGCTGCACAATGCGTATTTGATAAAGAAGGGCCCTCGGTGAGCAACGCGCACTTTTTGTATGTGTGTGTGCGCACGGGGTGGTGGTGGGGGGGGAGGCTGCAAAATGAAAATAAATGCGTCCGAGGTTTCACTGCGGCGGGGAAACAAATTGCAACACTCTAAATGGTTTTTCTTTATGGTCGCCAGACAAGAGGAGAAAGGGGCGGGGGGGGGGGGCGCAAACATCTGTCTTCAGTCCCCGGACCTAAAGGCCAGCAAAGACGGATGCGAATCCAAGGGTTATCACGGCGCGGATTTGTCTTTATTTCTCGCTCATGAATATGAATCTGCATCTGGACCGGGAGGTGCCTGTACCCCACGGACGGACTCCGCATGGAATTTCCCTCACTGGCATGCTCCCACTGCCTTCCACTTCGGGGAGGTGGGGGGTGGGGAGGGTAAGTCACCAGGCACAAGGCTCTGATTGTCCAAGGCTCTCCGTTCCCTGGGAGTAAGGGGTGAGGGCAGAAAGGGGGAAAGAGTGCCCCTGGTTTTTTTTTTTGTTTTTTTTTTTTTTTTTTGTTTTTTGTTTTGTTTTGTTTGTTTTGTTTTGTTTTTGTTTTCTGAAACGGATGAGGTAGCTCAGGCCAGCCCTCTGAGGATGCCGAAGTGTAGGCTTTAGGCCAGGTTAGGCCAGATTGACACTGGCCGGCCATCTCCCCCCTTGGCCGAGGTGGGCTTTAAGCGTGTTTGTCTTCAGGAGAGACTTTGAGTCTGGGTGGTTTGGCAAAGGGCAGGTTCACAGCCTCCCTCAGGGTGCAGAGGGCGTGTTTCACGGGAAGCTGCTCCTCGCCAGAGCCGGGTGCCCTTTACTCGACTTACAAGCCCGTCACGAATTTCTACCCTGCGTCCCAACAGCCTTCAACCCCCCCCCCCCCCCCCCCCCCCCACACACACAGAGCTTCAGACGGCTCTGGGTTGAAGGTTAAGGTGCAGCGCGCAGTTTCTTTGAAGAGGGGTTTGGAGAGAGGTCCTGGCTATGCCGCGCGGGGCCTTCGGACTGGACAGGCGAAGCGGAGAGCGGGGAGCCAGGAATCCGGGCAAGGGAAATGCCCTCGGAAGAGGGACGGAGCCCAGCCTGAAGCCACCGCTGGGCGCCAGCCCAGGGCTTGGCCCTCCCCGTAGTCTGGCTCCAACCGGCTTCCACTCGGTCGCGCCAGCCGTCTTCAGGGTGCCAGCCCTGTTGAGCGGCCGGGACTGTCTTTGCCTCTCTCCAGACGCCCCCTGGCGCCCATCCTCACCCGACCCGTGCTCCTCCTGGAAGACCTCTTCCAGCTAGAACTGCACGGTCGGATGAGCAGACGCTCTTGACTTCATTTTCCCCTTTGTAGGCCTTGTAGGTTTATTTTGTTCAGTGTCACTGTCCCACCCCGTCCCCAGCCCTGGCCCCTCTTTTGTGGCTCAGGGTCCTGATTCTGCTCAGCAATGAAAGGGTTGCGGGGCTGGGCCAGGCCACAGCCCCAGCCCCAGCCCCAGCCCCAGCCCCAGCCCCAGCCCCAGCTCCTTGCTTTGTCCCAGTTGTGCTTTCTACACGCGAGCTCTCCCCTAAAAGTTGTACCAAATGGTTAATTTAATTATTCCAACTATAGACCAACTGCTTCAGCAGCCGCCACCACGCGTCTGGGAGGAAAAAAGAACCCATCTATAAGAAATAATCTAATAAAAGTGAAGTGTAGAAAAACCCCTCCTGATTTTCAACCGGCACAAATAGAATTAGGGGTTCAGCATCCTTTCCCAAACAGACCTTTTGTCCAGATCACAACTTCAGCCAACCGGCAGTGTGTACTGTGCCTGCCATTTATTTTAATAGAGGCGGGTGGGAAGCGAGATGGATTGATAGATAAATGGCCACATGGATAGATGGATGGTTTGATCCATCTTCCACCGTCGTTCCTTTCTTAGGATGTGTACACGGCTGACTTTTTATCCCTCTGCCAATTTTCTAAATCACTAATGGAAAGGCAGTCTTATGTGGCAAAAGACAGACAGAAAGAAAGAAGGAAAGAAAGCAAGCTTTTTTTAAAGGTCAAGAGAAGAAACAGACTACCAGCATATATACTACGAGGAAAGAGATGTTTACATGGTACCAAATGAAAAAGATTGACTGTTTAAAGGAAACTTTTCTTCCCTTTATTTTGCCATTCATGGGAATGTTTCTTTCTTTTCTTCTTTTTTTCCTTGAAAGTCAGAAACAACATTAAAGGACAGGGAGACAAACCCAGCAAACAAAATGCCATTGTATTGTAGTAGCGATTCATGAGAAAATGCGTGCCAGGCCCCTCATGCCTCACTACTAGGACGCTGTTTTACCATAGGCAAGGCGCAACAACCCAGGGATGAATAAAATATTAAACACCAGTGAGAGTTTCAGAGGAATTTCCTGTCTGATTGCTTGATTTAATGTTGCCTCTGAATTGCACCTTGAGCTGCACACTACCTGGTGGGGATGGGACTCGGAGCCAGCATATTCTCTCAACCAGGGAATGAGAGGGTGTGCTTTGTCCTTGGCTCTGTCTGCTCTAAGAGCATTGCAGGCTGCAATGTTTCCTACCTACCTGCGCTAAGAAAATAACCACCACAGAATTTATCAGGACACCAACTTCCAGAACAGGAAACAAAGGAGCCGACGGCCAAACGTGTTCAGTCAGCATTTGAGAACTTTCGCTACATACAGCATTTGCAACGCAACTCAAATTCGAGTGTTTCCCAATAAGAAGCTTTCTTAGGTTTGTAACTAACCCCCGGCAACATAATTCTAATAATTATTAACTGCCTGACAGTCTACGCAAAGCAACCAACACAGAACGTGGCACCTGGAAAGACTCCAGTGAGTGTCAGCCACCTGTATGAGGGTGGTGACAGTGATGATGATAATGACGTTGGCAGAGTTTCTGGGGGTCAATTAGGACTGCAGGTTGAACACTAACATTCGAATTTGGATGGGGGGGCGCAGATGCGTACGCCCACTGCATGTTTACAACATGTACAAGGCCC